CATCCAAGCAGATATATGCACACCTATGTTTATTGCAGCTTTGTTCATAATAGCAAGGAGTTGGAAACAACCCAGGTGCCCATCAACAAACGAATGGATAGAGAAGCTGTGGTATATACAATGGAATACAACACTGCATTGAAAAACAAGGAACTCATGCAATACTATTCAAAATGGGTTACCCTGGAGGACATTATGCTTAGTGAAATATCTCACTCACAAAAGGACAAATACTGCATGGTGCCACTGTTGTAGAATGGACTGATATCAGGTAAGACTGAGAAAAACTGGATAAATTATGTATACTGCACTGAAACAGATGAGGGAGAGAATAATTTAAAAGCCATATATGATAGGGTATTATAGTTATCACAAGAGCCCAGAATTAAGGGTGCATAGTGGAATGTACCTGGGGCAGTGGGAGGGGTGCAGGGGGATTGTACACCAAAGAAAGAATTTTATTTTTTCAAAGAGAGGAGCAAACTGGGGTGGGGGGAGGTTGGGCAGGGAGAAAAGTGCAACAATGAATGAATGGAAATCCAAAATCTCTGTAAATGTTCATTAAAATTATTAAAATTTTTTTTTAAAGTTGCAAATAGAAATACCATTTGACCCAGCAATTCCACTACTGGGAATATACCCCAAAGATATCATAATTGACACCAAAGTAGATATTCACATGCCCATGTTTATCGCAGCTTTGTTCACAATAGCAAGGAGTTGGAAACAACAAACGGTATATAATAGGGTATTATAGTTATCATAAAAGTCCAGAATGAAGGCTGTATAGTGGAGTGGACCTGGGGGAAGGGATTGTAAAACAATGAAAGAATTTTTCTTTTACTTTTCAAAGAGAAGAGTGCATTTAGGGGGGGTGTGGAGGGAGCAGTGGGCAGGAAGAAAAGTGCAACAATGAATGAATGGAAACTCAAAGTCTCTGTAAATTTTCATTGAAATTAATAATAACAATTTAAAAAGAAACATAATGGTTGACATTTCTTCCTTTTTTGGTAACTTAAGTCCAAAAACAGTGTATGACAATCAGCCTTTCCATGGAACCTAATATTCATACCAAGGAATTAAGTAGTCACTCTCGTGCAAGTAATGCATATTTTTAAAAATCATCTTCAAATGTCAGATATCTTAAGAGGTTTTTAATCAGTGCAGTAAAATACGCATGCTGAAAAACTCTAACGTATGTTCTTCTACTCCTACACGCAATTTTATTAATTTCTTATTTATTTATTTATGTTTTTGTTGTGTACTGTTGGAGTTGGAACCGATCCGTAACTGACACCCCAGTGGATTTTCAGAAACAGTAAATCGCACAGGAGAAGAATGATCATTTTTCTCCCATAGAGCAGAGTTTGGATTCAAACTGCATGCCTTTGGGTTCACAGCTGAGTTCCTTACCACAAAGGCACCAGAGCTCCCTCTTGTTTATAAAAAGCAGCCTATTTAAGACATTTTCAAAACACTTGCTTGAAAACTGTCTTCTATGTTCTTTCTCAAAGATCTAGGTTAAAAAACCCAAGTAGGTGTGACTCTGATTAATTGCTCTGTCACATTCTAACTCACTCTATGATTTAATGAAATCAGTAGGATCTGTAAACTTTAACCAAAGTAAAAAAGAAAACAAGAAATTTTTAAAAATTGTGCACCTATTTTACCCTTAGTTTCTTGCCCAACAATTAATCTAGGCTTTTGCTTAAAAACAAAACAAAACTTCATGTTCTCTAAGTAGGTCCCATTCTATGCTCTTTTAGTTTTAATTTAAAAACATTTGGGTTCTTGGATGTTCCTTCTCAACTCCCTCTGTACCTTGTGGGCTCCACCAGGCTCTGCATCTCCTCCACCCTCGCACTGTCTGCACCTATTGGGTCCCACTGGCCTATGCCTGACCGTCCCCAAGCATCCTGAGTTTGGAATCCCTGCCTCCTGTTCTCTATCCACCCTTCTTGTATTCTCTCTTCCTCATTTTAGAGTTAAAAAAAAAAACCAAAACAAAAAACCACAAACCCAACACAACACATGTGAATATGACTTTTAGAAAAGCTCTTAAAAATTTTTAACAGTGCATCTAAATTCCAAAATCAATCTACATAATAGTCTATGTGTTTCCTATTGCCAAAGGGGCCCTTTAGAGTAGTGAGAGAAGATCTTCACCCTGAAACCTACAGCGTCCCTTTTCAGCAGGAAGTAGCTAAGAGAA